TCATGGCAAAATCACATTTTTTAACTTCTAAAAATTCTTGGATTTTCATTCTTTTCATTTCTGGTGGGACCATTACAGGAAGCTGCTCAGACCTCCTGTGCTGTACAGGCCAGAGACTTCCACTCGCCGAGTCTTGCATTGTGCCCAGCATCTTGTTGAACCAAAGCATGTCTTTCAGAGAGACGTTTGGGCTTGATTTGGGTCTGAGTAATTATTGATTGTGTTGCTAATCCCAGGCATGTGCTGGGCACCAAGGATGCTGGCAGTTAGGTGTATGGAAGAATCCTCAGCTGTCTTGCAAGGAGATCCTCTCCTCATAATCCATGTATTGACAAGTGTGGCACTCAGAGTTGCCCCGGGAAGACCATTAGTGGTTCCAGTGTGGCAGTGGGAAAGGGCAGATGCTGAGAGTGATGGCACCTGATTTTGCTGTGTCTTGAGCACTGACTGTTACTCTGCTGGGTAGGGAGAGTGAGCAATTGCAGCCTAGGGAATGGGGTGTGCAGGAGAGGCTCTGTGAAAGAGAGCAGAGAGGCCCCAGCGCTGGAGTTTAAGTGGAGAGGAAGCAAAGAGCATTCTGATGGAGGCATGAAGCCCTCGGGGCCAGGGAACTCACTGCATGAGCACCCCTAGGGTACAGCTCACCCTGCATGCCTGCCAAGGCTTCACGTGGCACCAGCACGGTCACTCGCATGCTGCCCTTCTGCCACCCACACTCAGTGCCTCTCCCTTACATCCAGCACGGCAGCAGTGGACCTGTGGGGGACAGGAGGCTTTCTGTGGGACTGTGATGTCTGCTGCCGTGGGCAGGCAGCACTGCTGCTGGAGGTGCTGCTGAGGCTGGGAGCTTGCAGAGCAGCAGGGCATGGGCACTGGGAGCTGCTGCCCAGCAAAGCGTGCCAGCTGGGGTGGTGGGCGTAGGAACGGCCCTGGATGGGGCTGGCCTGCTGCTGCTCTGCTGCTGGCCGCCATGTTTGACTTGCTGTCGTGTGTCTGCCCCAGGTGCAGGAGTTTGAGCATGTCAATGGGAAGTACAGCACCCCAGATATGATTCTGGAGGGCCCGGAGAGCAAGAAGTGCAATGAAATGGTTTCTTCAGATCCCAACACCCCTGTCCCCGCCAGCCCAGCGCACGTACATGCAGGACCTCTTGCCCTTGCAGGTAAATGCACAGTGGCCTGGTTGTGGCTGTGGTCTGCCTTAGGAAGGGAGGTGGAACAGGACACCAGAAGGTTTTGCAGGTATCTGCCTGGCACTGTGCCCTTGGCACCATGGGATTCCTGTCTATAGCTTCCTTGCTTTGCTGGTGTTACAGAAAAAACAGATCCACCGCTTGGATTCCAGGAGGAAAAGGACCAAGTGGAGCAGAAGTCCAGGAGAGCATCTGACAGCCAGGTAGGGGATCATGAGCCTGTGCCCACAGTGCTGCCCTGCGGGCTGCAGAGCTGTGGTCATGGTGTTTCTTGGGAGGTACTGCAGCATTCCTCTGCAAGCAAACCACGTCCCTCTGGCTGCTGGGCTAATTAGTGTGGGTGCTTGACATTAAGGTGCCCGGAAGCACTGAGAAGGTGGAAAGTGAAGAGTACCAAGAAAACTGTGAAAGCAAGGAGAAACTGAAGGAAGAGAAACAGGACGAGAGTGAAAAAACTGAGCTTTCTCCTGAGCCCCTGGGGAAAGGTGAGTCTCTGTGGCTCAGAAGAGTGTGGGCTCCATTCTGAGCAGCATTGGGGACATCTGTGAGGGCTCTGACAGTTACACTGACATTGATGTGTGCTGGGGAATTTCTTCAGCTCAAGGTGCACAGACACAGAGCGCGCACTGCGACAGCCTCAGGTGCTTGGTGCTCCTGACAGGCAGAAACTCTCTGTTGGCAAATTCTGGCACTTGCTGCTGGCTTCTCTTCTCCAAATCACAGAGGGAAACCTGAATGTCACAACATCCAGTGGAAATTCCTAAGAAAAGACTTTCTGTTGGACTTCCAGATTGCTGTTTAGATGATGATACCATGTTGTCACAGATGTAATCTACACTGTAATGTTAAAGCATCAGTTTAGTATAATCTACAAGTTAAAACAAATCAAAAGTAAGCTGTGATCAGTGCTTGTACCCTGTACGGTCGCTTTACCCTGGAAGTTACAATCCATACAGATATATTATTTCCTGAAGAGCATTTTACACGTTATGCTTCTCTCAAAGTCCTGTTCCCTTCTGCAGATGAGGGAGTCCAAGAAAAGGAGAAGGCTTTGGAAAAGCCAGAGTCAAACAGCAGTCCTGGTAAAGGGGAGGACAAAGAAGTCAAGCCAGGTAAGGTGCCAGGAGGCTTTGGAAAGAGAAGTGAAGTGCCCTGCTGGGCAGGGTCTCCGACTGAAGGCAGGTGTCTGTGTTGTGGCACGGGGCTGCAGCCAGCACCTGCAGTGGGCAGTGTGCTCTGTGGTGCTCAGGAGCCTCCGCAGGACCTCATTGCAGTGGGCACTGCTGTGAAAACATCAGGAGCTGCTGGAGGTGGCAGATGGCCAGCAGCTGTTGGCAGGAGGTGGCGGGTGGCTTCTCTAGCAGTGATTTTAGGGGGGACTTCCCCTTGCAGCTGGGAGGGCAGTGGTAGCAGCGGTCGGTCTGATGGCTGCATAAGTTTGGGCAGCTGTAATTTCCCATGTTTGCCCAGCAGAGGATACCAAGGTGGAAGAGAAGGAGCAAAGTGAGGCTCAGCAAAATGGTGACAAAGAAGAGGAGGATGGAAAGAAGGATGACAGAAACGTGAACTTTAGATTCATGTTCAACATTGCTGACGGAGGCTTTACAGGTAAACACGAGAGATGAGCCGTTGGTTGTTTTACTGCTGCAGAGCTTTTATGTAAAGCTCTGTACTGAGCGCTGCTCCGTGGCTCCCTGGGCCGTCTCCTCTCTCGCCCTGCACGCTGTGCCCAGCAGCCCTGCTGGCTCACCAGGCTGTCTCTCTTCTGTTTCTGCAGAGCTGCACACGCTGTGGCAGAATGAGGAAAGAGCTGCCATCTCCTCCAGCAAGATCTATGACATCTGGCACCGCAGGCACGACTACTGGCTGCTGGCAGGGATCGTCACGTACCCTTTGGCTTTTGGGTGATGGCTTCCCCGTGCCGGGCGGAGGAGGCTGCGCTGTGAGGGCAGTGGGGAGGGAGGTGATGGAGCGGGGAAGGGGACTGGGGACGTGTTGCTGAGAAGTGCTGTCTGCTGGCCGGTTCTTGCCTTGACGCTCCCTCCTGGCAGCCACGGCTACGCCCGCTGGCAGGACATCCAGAACGACCCGCGCTACGTGATCCTGAACGAGCCCTTCAAGTCAGAGATACACAAAGGGAACTACCTGGAGATGAAGAACAAGTTCCTCGCCCGGCGCTTCAAGGCGAGTTGCAGGTCCAGGGCTGGTGAGTCCTTAGTGGTGGCACAGAGCAGAGCCCCACGGCGAGGTGAGCGGAGCAGAAGGCGGCAGATGTTTGCGAGGCGTCAGTGGCAGCGAGGCAGCAGCCTGAGGGGCAGGGCTGGAGGAGCAGGAGCACTTGCTAGCTCCAGAATGTGGCATGTGGATGGGGCAGTGCTGTGGAATTGCTGCCCAAATCTCTTTCTGGGGTACTTCAGTGTGTGATTGGGCTGCGTTGGGACGACACAAACCCAGGAGTTGTGGGGCTGGGGCGGATGGATGGATGGCAGGCATGGGGGTGGCACTGGCTCGCACGGGCACAGGGTCTGGTCCTGATCCGTTGCTCTCCTGTGCCTCCCAGCTGCTGGAGCAGGCCCTGGTGATAGAGGAGCAGCTGCGGCGGGCGGCGTACCTGAACATGACTCAAGACCCCAATCACCCGGCCATGGCATTGAACGCCCGTCTGGCTGAAGTGGAGTGCCTTGCCGAGAGCCACCAGCATCTCTCCAAAGAGTCCCTCGCGGGGAACAAGCCTGCCAATGCCGTCCTGCACAAGGGTACGTGGGGCAGAGGGCGGGGGGTGCAGGGAAGGGTGGGCTGTGCCGAGTGAGACCACTGGACAGAGCAGCTTTGGGGAGCTGCTGGAGGAGGAGCCGATGTTCAGTTGGGTCACGAGGTACCGGGGCGGAGCACAGCGGGCACGGAGCTGCCACAGGGCTTTGGGGTCAGCAGTTCTGGCTGTGCGTTGCAGTGCTGAACCAGCTCGAGGAGCTGCTGAGCGACATGAAGGCTGATGTGACGCGCTTGCCCTCCATGCTGTCCCGCATCCCTCCTGTGGCTGCACGGCTGCAGATGTCGGAGCGCAGCATCCTCAGCCGCCTGACCACGCGTGGCGGGGAGCCCGCGGTGCAGCAGGTGCGTGGGCTGGAGGAGCGCAGAGCTGCCCTGGGGAGCCCTGTGTCCCCTGCCCCAGCTCTGCTCTGCACACCCTGTGTTCCAGCTTCCCTTCTTTCCTCAGGGCTCCTTCGGTTCCTCCCAGATCTACAACAACAGCTTTGGACCGAATTTCAGAGGTCCTGGGCCGGGTGGGATTGTCAACTACAGCCAGATGCCTCTGGGGCCCTATGTGACAGGTAGGCTGAAGCTTCTGACGGACACAAGCAGGGAAATTGAAGTGACAGATCTTAGTGCAAAGCAAGGATGGTGGTGAGCAGCTGTTTTCTCTCTTACCAACAGATATTTAGCCCTTTCCAAGACTTTCTTCTGCTGTTCCCATTCCCACCTGAGGTAAGGCTGCACCTGTGACCATCCTCTGAGCTGCCGTGTGCTGGCAGACCACGAGTCCCTGTCTGTCCCCTCAGCAGCCCCTGGGCCACTCTGCAGCCCCGAGAAGAAGCCGCAGGGTCACCAAGGGATGGGGATGCAGTGGGCAGAGGGGATGCAGCCCCGCGCCCCTCGTCCCCACGTGTGCTTCAACCCCCGTGACCCCGACCATCGCCAGAACTTCTCTGAAGGGGATTTCATTTCCTTGTACATTTTTTGCACTTTCTTATTGAAGACTTGAAGAGTTTGTCCGGAAGTGTGGGATGAGTTAAGAAGGGATACAGAATAACAGTATTTATGTCTGTTTTTATTGACATGTATCAGAGTTAAAGGGAGACCTGTTGGAAGCTCTGTTTCTAGTCCAGTTCCACGCTGACCGTTAGGCGCCAAGCTTTCTCCAGTTCAGTAGCTTCCCTGTAAGTTCTATTTTTATGTCCTTTTTGTGTTTGAGCAAGCGCATGCCCACCGCTGCCCTGCTGCAGCACAGGGAGCAGAGAGGAGGAGGAGGAGGAGGAGAGGAGTCGGCTGCCACCGCTCCCAGCCCATCCCTGGGCTGCAGTGAGCCCTGCCTTGGGTCCCTCTGCCTGCAACCTGCCCTCGCCATGCTGCACGGAGGAGAGCACGGTTGGGCAGGGCTTCCTTCCATCCTCTCTGCGGCCACAAGCTGCCTGGAGCTGGGGGGGGGGTCGTGGGGGCTGCTGCAGCAGAGCAGAGGGTGGCCGGACTGCTGCCTTTGTGCCTGGTGGGCTGCTATTTTGTGATACTGACTGCACCGTGGTGACCTTTCGTAGGAGGTTTATGGCACCTGTAACCAACACACTCACATTTACTTTGTACTCTGTGTGTTTTGGTTCATGTTCTCTGTGTTTTAATAAATCCTGTAAAAAGGAGGTGGGAGCAGCGTCGTTATTGTGCTGGCGACCAGGGGAGCTCTGCTCTTCCACCCCAGGGATCAGGGTGGGAGGGGGGCACAATGCTCGGGGAGGAGCCAGCCCCTGCCTGGACCCCCCCTGCTGCCCCCCTTGGAGCCCACAGCCCCGGGCAGTGGCACCATGTGCCGTGGTGCTCGGTGCCATCCCAGCGTGTACATGTATGTAGGTGTGCTTGTGTGATGTCAGCACAGTGACACATCTGTACATTGCCTACAGATGCACGCAGATATGCAATTCTATATACCTGCTTATGTGTATTTCTGCGTGGTTTGTGCAGATATATAAAAATGGCAGCTCTCCCTTATCTATCCCACCTGCACGCACGTTCACTGCTCCACCTCCACGCAGCAGCGTTTGCTGTTTCCCCTGCACGGGGAGAGGGACAGCAGGCGCTGCCTGGGGAGGGGCTGTGCGGAGTCCCCCCGCCCAGGGATTCCCGTTGCCCACCCATCTTCTCCTCCCTCACGCCCATCCCAGGCAAGGGCACAGACGCAGCGTGCCGGGGCTGCAGAGCAGAGCGCTGGAAGGAGGGGTGGTGGTGGTTTGTTGGTGGTGTCGCACAGCAGCCTCTTACAGCCCCGGCGCTGATCCGGGCCAGCACCCAGCCCTGCGCACGTAACGCTCCCGCGGTGCTCTGAGCACAGCTGCACCCAACGGCCTCCTTGTCCGGAAACACAAAGTAAAGAAGAGAAGCAGCAGGGAGACGCATGCAACGGCTGCGGCCGCCGCCCAGGACGGCCCCCGCCGGCTGAGTCCTCCGCACGGAGCCGGGACGCCCCCAGCAGCGCAGCGCAGAGCCTGGCCGTGCGCCCCGCGGCTCCGAGTCCAGGCGCGGGCGCGCGCTGCCCAGCACTCTCCCCGGCGGCGGCTTTCTTGCATTCAAAGTAAATGTTATGTAGTAAGCGTTATGTTCTCTTGCAGCGACGTTTGGAACGGTTTCTCTACACTCTTGGCGTGCTGTTCTTGATGCGGGCCGCGCTCTCCACTTTGCTTCATCCAAGCGTAAGCAAGCGATCGGGCGGCGGGGCGGCGTGCCGGGCGCCTAGGAGCGGTAGTCCTTCTTGCTGTAGGGTTTGTTGCCCAGGATGCTATCGATCTCATGGACGATGGAAGACGACAGCTTGGGAAGGACCTGCACGGAGCGCAGCCGCAGCTGTGCGGGGTGCCCCGCCTCCCGCTCTGTGCGCCGCTCAGCATCGCCGCGCAGCGCTTTCGACTCATCCGCAACGCGTGGCAGCACCGCGCGGCCGTGCCGCTGCGCGTCTCACCTGTATGGCTCCGATGTTCTCCATCAGCTGGTCGGCGTTGGAGGCTCCCAGCAGCACGGAGCTGACGCCCTCGTTGCGCAGGCACCATGCTGGGGATGCGGAGTGCAGAGCTGAGCGGCGCCCGGCCGCTGCCCCGCACCGCCCCCCCACCCCCTTACCGATAGCGAGCTGTGGCAGCGTGCAGCCCAGGCGCTCGGCGATGGCTTGCAGCTCCTTCAGCTTAGCCTGCTGCCGCCGGCCCTCCTCGCTCAGGATCTTGTCCTTCAGCCACTGGTACCCCTGGGGTGGGAGAGAGGTGAGTGGGGGGCTCTCAGGAGCCCCGAGACCCCCGCACTGCGTATCTCTCCATGGCGCTCACCTTCAGTGATGCTCTTGAGTACGGAGGAATGCCGCCGTCATACTTCCCTGAGACGATGCCGCACGCCAGCGGTGACCAGGTCATGGCACCGACACCTGGGGTGAGCAGAGCAGAGCAGGGAGTGACCTGGGCACCTCGCAGGCTGCCTTCGGCCTGGGGCTGGGCAGCACTTGGGTGCTGGGGCCGACCTGGAGGGCAGGAGGGGCAGCAAGGAAACCAGCCTGGGGAGCTGGGATGAGGTAAGCAGGAGTGGAGGTGGCTGGGGCACACGGGGAGATGGAGGAGCAGCGGGTGAAGCCCTCGGGAGAAGGACCCGTGTGAAATGGATACCTATCTTGTGAAAGAGCTCAGGCAGCTGCACCTCCACCTTCTCCCGCTGGAACATGTGGTACTCAGCCTGCTCGCAGATCGGTGGGATCAGGTTGAACTGCCGTGCCACTGAGTACGCCTCCTGCAACCCGGATTGGCAACGTCAGCGCACGCCGGCGCCGTCACCACGCGGCAGGGATTTGGGCTGTGGGACCCCTAGGGACGCGGCTCCTACCATGATCTCCATGGAGCTCCAGCGCGACGTGCCCCAGTACATGGCCATCCCCTGGTTGATGACGTGGGTCATGGCGCGCACCGTCTCTGCCGGAGGAAGGGAGAGCAGCAGGCGGGCGTTAGGGCACAGGGATGGGGCTGGGCCGTGCACATCTTGCAAGCAGTGTACATCCAAACGCCAAACGGGCAGGAGTTGGGTGTGGAAATTAAAACAAAAGGGAATGGAAATCGACCCGAGAGAGAGAGAGACTGCGTGGAAATCGCTTCTCCGCAATGAACGCATTTCCAGATCTATTGAAAACAGACCCAGGTCAAACCACACGGAGAGCATCACATGGAGGCGGGCAGAGGTCGGAGTGCTGAGATGAGGAGGGAGGGACAAAAAGGCGATGTATGGTCCTCTGGGAGCGGTGACAGTCAGGAGAGGGCACAGGAGGGCACTGAGGAAGGGATGCAATTGGGGACGTAGCGCTGCTCCCAGGTAACGGGGCTGGAGCTGCCTCCAGCTCATCCCAAAGTGCTCCACCACAGAAACGAATCAAAACAGGGTTTAAGGATATACAAAAGAGAGCACCAACCCCAAACCCGGCATTCTGTAGTTGTAGCCCATTCTGGGCTGTGCCGTGGCCTGTGGGAATGGGGATCCCCAGCGCTGCGCTGGCACACAGCGCTTGCAAATGCTGCAGGAAGAGGGAAGCAGGTGGATCTTCCCACACCCTTTGGTACCAACGGGCTGGAAGCACAGCTGCTGTGCCCACTGTGGCTCAGGGCGGTAGGAAACGTGGAGCTGAGGGATTCATTGCTCCATCCCAGAGCGATGCTGGGAGGAAGGGGTGGGGGGCTGCCACAACTTGAGGCGGCAGCACGCTGCTTCAAACCACGCGGGCTGGGTTGCAAGCCAAGATGCCATGCCAAGTGAAGGAAGCAGAAAGGAGAACATGGCTGAAGTTTGGTTTAACAACACCAGCAGCGACAGCTCAGCCGAGCACGAGCTTTGTGTCAACCAAAGGCTTCAGCAGCCGGACCTGGCAGCTCGGCGTGGGGCAGGAGGGGCCTGCATGGAGGGCGCCCGTCCTGCGTGCCAGCAGGGGACGCTGCAAGCGGCACAGGGGTACAGCTGGGTGCTGGGCTACACTGTGCCCTCGGGACGCACTGCGTGGGGACAGACTGACAGCAAGAAGAGCTGCGTGCAGCAAGGACTGACGGCTTCACCTGAGCACTGCCCAGTGCCAGAGCGGCACCAGAAGCGCAATGCTGGAGCCATGCGGGGAAGGGGAGCGGATGGGATGGGAGCGCAGCTGTCGGCTTTGTTCCTTCACTTGCAAGATGTTCTGGGGAAGGGGGGGTATTTTGGTTTGGCTGTTGCTGCTGTTTTCCTTTGCGCATTTTATGGAGAGGGTTATTGAGGGGGGAAGGAATCAAAATTAATGAAAAATGCAGGTTCTGTCTCATAAAATGCCACTGGGGTTCGGACTGCGGGTACGATGTACCTTCTATGATGAATGTTCTCGACTTGGAAGAACTAAATGGGTGCCCTGGTGATAAAAGAAAGATGTAGAGAGACCAGAGGTTACAGCCGCCGGTGTCACAGCGAAGGGCACAGCGGGGGATGGGGCCGCGCTCCCCCAGCACCACGGCAGCCCCCGGCCGCACTCCTGGCACGGGGTGAGGGATGGATGCTCAGAGAGCTTTAGCTGAAGGGGTTACGCTCTGTCATGGGAAACACACTTTCAGGGGAAAGCCTGCCACAAGAAGCATGGTTACAACCCACGGATGGCAATGGAATACGGCACACAGCATGCAGGAAACGGGGAAGGAAGGGACGTGGCCCCGGAGCCGTGGGTCGGACACCTCGGCACGGCCGCAGCGCAGCACCCACCTTCCATGGGTGTGTTGGGGTCGGGCCGGTTGGCAAACACCACGTCCACGTAGTCCAGCTGCAGCCGCTCCAGCGACGCCTTCAGACCTGCAGCCATGCAGCACAGTCAGGGCAGCGCGCGCTCCGCACCGCACCCCGCACCCCACAGCCATACCTTCAATGATGTGCTTCCGGGACAGACCCCGCTCCGTCTCTGCTCTGAAAGAAGAGAAGGGGCAGTGGGAGCCCGCTGCCGGCCGCAGCACTGCGGGGCAGGGCGGCTGCTACCTACTTTCCTCCCCAGAAGATCTTGGTGGTGATGACCAGGCTGGATCGTCTGCAGGGAGAAGGGCAGAGTCATAGAGCAGTAGGGTAAATAAGATGGAAAAGACCACTAAAGCCCACCTGGGCCAACCATCAGCCCATCACCACCAAACCCACTCGCAGGAGCATTAAGGTTGGAAAAGGCCTCTATGACCACCAAGTCCAACCCCAACCCATCCCACTGTGCCCACTGACTGCATCCCCAGGTGCCACCTCTCTGCACTGCACACCTCTGGGGTTGGGGATTCCAGCCCCAGCTGTGCCTATGCTCGGTCAATGCGTGAGCCCTGCGCCCCGTGGGCTCTTTCTCCCCACTCCTCCCAGCCCACAAGCATCACAATCACCAGGGAAACCTGCTGCCTAAAAGTAAAGCAGTGTGGGATGCTGGACCTTGGCGGTGAGACCTACCTCCAGCCTTTCTTTTTGATGATGTTTCCCAGCACAACCTCGGCCCTGCAAGGAAAGGGAGACATAAGCCTTGAGCTCTTTAGGCTGGAGCAGGAATTAGGTCAGAGACGCGTCAGTAATGAGAAGTGACTGCGAGCGGCGTTGGGACGCAGCGGGGAGCGAAGGACTCCAAAACAGCAGGAGCTGCTATTCTGAAGCAGCTGTGTGGGCCCACTCGTCACACCGCTCGGCACCGGGGCCGCCCCCAGCCCAGCATCAGTGGGGCTGAGCAGAACCGGGTCAGCACACGCAGAGGCCACGGGCCGGGACGGAGCCCTCACCCCAGCAGGAGACGCTGTGGTGGGATGGAACGTTTGAGCAAATGTGAAATGACTTCCCAAAACGAGCGCGGAGAGGCGGAATGATTTAATTATTTCCACTCTCCAAACTTTCAAACCAACCTGCATGACAGCGGCTGTCCTCAGCGAGCAAACAGAGGGCAGCGTGCGGCGCGGGGATGGGAAGTGCCTACCAGTGCTCCTGGGGGGAACGTTCCTGCGTGCTGCAGGACAGAAGCCCTCCTTCCAAACCCTCTTTCAAATATTTAGGAACTGGAGAGCCTGCGAGCACGCTTGTTCTTGAAGGGCTTTGAAGACTGAATGAGCACCTGGGAACCTCGGGAGTGTGGAAGTGCAGAGCTGAGGGAGGGGGCTGTGTGGAGTCGGGGGGCTGTGTGGGGTCGGGGGGCTGTGTGGGGTCGGGGGGCTGTGTGGGGTCGGGGGGTGCCCAGCCCGGAGCAATCCCTGGGTGCTGGGGCTCCTCCTGCTCAGCACGTGGGGCCAAGTGTGCAGAACGCGCCGTTCCTCCCCCAGCTCAGGTTTCTGCGTAATGCAGGAGTGGGTTTAAAGGGAAAAAAAGAGGCTCTGCCATTGTGTCGATACCCACAGTGCTGCTCTGCCTGCTAAATATATCCCAGCCCACAGCTGCGAGGGGGCTCAGGATGTGTCCCAGAGCACCTCCAGCTGAGAACCGGAGCGATTTGGCCGTGCTGAGGAGGAGCAGGGCTGGCGAGGAAGGCTCCCTGCATGGTGCCAGTGGTACTCACTTGCCGGCAGCGTAGACTTCTGCCGTGTCGAACAGATTAATGCCGTTGTCGTACGCTAAAGTCATCAGCTGCTCGGCCATCTGCGGGGGGGAGAGGGGATGCCTGGGCATGGGGACACCGAGGGCCGCAGCCCCAGTGCGCCCAGAGCTGCTGCTGAGGCTGTGTGCTGTCCTTACCTCGTCTGTGATCTGCCCTCCGAATGTCACCCATGTCCCTGCAGGGAGAGATGGCACGCAGTGAGCGCAGCGTGGCCGTGCTGCGTCCCCAGCACCCCTACAGAGCGGGGACAGAGCCGACTTCTGTGGCTCTGAGCGGCGGCTGGGAGCGCGGTGCTGCTTGGGGCAGGATGGGGAGCGTGCACTCACCCAGGCCGAGGCAGGAAACACGCAGCCCAGACTTGCCCAGATTTCTGAAAGATAGAGAGCCGTTAGAGCAGCAGCTGGACATCGCACCGTGCTCATTAACTCAGCTAATTGCACAGAGAACCCCTCTGGTGCTGTGCGGGAGGAAGGGTGGAACCCCCTCAGGAGGGCAACAGCGCAGAGAAGGGCAGAGCACAGCAGCACTGAGCTCTGAGCCCTGAACTGTGGCTGGAGAAGTCAGGGTTGGATTTTATGGAACACGGAGAGGAGAGAAAGGGGAAAGAGTGGCTGGGAGCACCGAGCCCCAGCCCCGGTTGCTGCTCTACTTCTGCAACAGAAATAAACACAGAGCTGTCGTGAGCCAGAAGGCACCGGAGAGAATGAACCACAAAAAAAGGAGCGTGGATGCAGCTCCTTCCAGAGACAAGAACTGCTGCTGGAGCAGCAGAACAGCGAGCAAAGGGGGCTGCGTGAGGGCATGGGGCAGGAGGGGCAAGAGGGGCACCAGTGTGGGCACAGGGCAGCAGCCACCCACGGGGACACGAGGACACAGGGAGCTGCAGCACTGCCCACAGAAGCGCAGCAGCCCTGCGTGATACCCCAAACTCAGCAGCGAAAAGTGGAGAACGTTCTTTTGGGAAGGAATCCAGGCTGGCAGGCGTCCTTTCCGCCTTTGCCACAGTGATTGATGGCGCATTTTTACAAATCACAAAGGTTCGAACAACAAGCTTTAAAATAAATAAAGTGTAGGTGAGCTGCTGCTGCCCGCCCGCGCGCGGCCGCGTCGCGTAGCAACGTGCCACGTCCCGTGCCCACAGCAGAGGGACCCATCCCTGGGGCGAGGGGACGGACCGCAGCAACGGTTATTAATTTCAGGCTGAGATTAATCAGGATGTTTTCCTTCTGCGCTGCTGCGTTATTGTCCAACATCTGGAAGACGTGGGTGCTACGGAGCAGATGCTCCGTGTCTCGGCCCCATTTATTTTTAGCTTGCGTAGCAGAGGGGCAGAGGTGATGGCCGTGGGCTCTCAGAGGGCAGAAACAGCGACATGGAGAGGAACCAACCCGAGCCAGGAGTGCGGCACTGGGGCAATGGGAGCTCCCCTGCTCACGGCTTCCTGCATGCAAGCCTATGGGTTTCTCGCCCGCAGCAACGCAGGGACGGAATGAGCATCCCCTGTGTGGTGCACAGCCCTCCAAGTATCACTCTGAGCAGAGTTTGTATGGAGCAGAGCGGGGACATTTGGAGAGCTCGGTGGCCCTGCTGCAATGCCATCGCCGCCGCCTCCAGGCGCTGCCCTGGGGGACCCCGGAGGGGTGGCCCAAGGAAAGAGGAGCAGGGCAGAGCAGAGAGCAGCACGCCGAGTGCTGAGGATGCACGGCTTGTAGGATGGTTGGCTAATGGGGATGCTAACAGGGGCTGATGGCTGATCTCGCCCCAGCAACACGCCTCCCTGCTGCACTTTGAAGCCCAGCACCGTTCTGCTGCCCTGGAGCCTCTGCCATCCACTGCTGCAGCGTTCCCTCATCTGCCCAGTGCCAGGCGCCCCGTGTGCACGCCGTGCTTCATCCCAAACCCACGCACTGAGGGCTGAGCCCTCACCCTGAGCTCCGGGGGTTCTGGCAGCGCTGCACAGCCCCGATGCCATCGCAGCCCATGGATGGCTGCACCGCAGAGCCCCTACGTCCCCTACAGCTGCTGCTCCCACAGCACCCACACCGCGCTCCTCCTGTGCCCCACAGTGCGATGTGGGAGCGCTTTGCCTCCTCCTGTCCCACTGCTTTATGCTAAAACCACACCGAGAGGGGAGAGAGAGCAAACTGTAAAGAAGGGAAGGAAGGTGAGCAAAGCACACAGGGAGCAGAGCAGCACTTGTAGCACTGAGAAACCCACAGCCAGGAGGGGAGAGGGGGTCTGGGGAGAGCACGGCACAGCCCGGAACCCCCTCCTCACAAATCTGGGGGGCATCCAACGCACCCAAACAGGCAGCAGAACCCCAATCACAGCACGTCCTCCCCTACCTGTACTTCATGCCCGGCTGTTTGATGCTGGACTCGCTGGACGACGGCGCGTTCTGCACCGAGAGCTGCCCCAGGCTCCGGGCCACCATGGCCACCGCCCGGAATTTGCTGCGCGTGCCGAGGCTGGGGCTGCTGGCATTCTGCCTGTTCAGCCGGTCCTCCGCGCTCCGGCTCTTGATGCTGTGCTCGGAGCACACAAAGGAGACCTGCATGGTGCCCCGCTGTCGGGCTGCGGGTTCGCTCCTCCCCGGGGCTCAGCCCCACGCTCCTCCCGGTGCGGCGCGGCGCGGCGGGGGCCGGGGATGGCGGGGCTGGCGGGGCTGGCGGGGAGGGCTTCCCCCAGACGCGCGGCTCCGGAGGTGCGGGGGAGCGCCGGCGCTCGCCTGCCCGAGGCTGAAGGCAAACTTCGAGTCCTGCGTGCCTCTGACGCCTCCGGCGGCGCCGCGTCCCTACGCCCAGGCTGTTCCCGGACGGCGGACGCGTGGTCCCCGTAAGGTCGGTGCCCGGGGCGGGGGCACAGAGGGCACCACGCGCCCACGGCCTCCCGGCATCGCCCGTGACCCTCCCGCGGCCGCGGAGGCGGCAGCAGCCTAAATTTAGACGGCCAACTCCGCGCGGCAGAGCCCTCCTCCTAACGTCGGCGGAGCATCACTCAGCCAACATGACGGCTGCGGGGCTGGGGGAGCGGCACGGCTTAGCGCGGCTCCGGGCCATCAATATTTGATGAGTTTTAGGAAGCAAACAAACAACGGCGGGGCAGGTGGGGAGGCAGAGCGCGACCGCTCCCCCCGTCCCTCCGTGCTGGGGAGCCGCGCACCCCCGCTATGTCCGCAGCGCGGGCACCGCCAGCGCCCCCGGGGTCGGAAGCCCGGTGGGTTTGAAGCTGGAGCCGCTTTGAGCCGCGCCCCGAGCGCCTCTTCCCCGAAACTTCCCCAGACGAGAGCTACGGCAATTAAGTGAAACCCAAACCCGGTGTCTCCTCTGAAGGACGGAGCCGCGGCGGTGCCGATGGCCGCTCGGCTCCGGGCTGTGCGCAGCAGCTGCCCGTCGCCCCCGGTGATGCAGGCGGCTCCAGTGGTCGGGAAGTAATGGGCCGAGCGGGAGGGATCGCCCAGGCGGCCACAGACTGCGCTGATCCCTACAGCGGAGAGAAGCGGCGCGGGGCCGTGGGTCGGTTTGGGGGGTGCGCGGGGGATTACATAAACTCGGCCTCCGGCGCAATGAGAAAATTGGTAATCTGCTCGGGTTTCCCTCTGCCTCCAAGCTGCTCTGCTCGGGCAGCGGGGATGGGTGATGTGGACCCAGGGAAGCCCGCACCCGTTGCGGCAGCGCGGCTGCATCCCCATCAAAGAGCATCGCCGCTGCCTCCCACGGGCACGAAATCACGGGCGTTTTTGCAGCCCCCCCTCCCCCAGCCCCGTGTTAATCTGCCCGCAGCCTGAGCCCAGATTAAGACTCCCACCAGCAGCTTTTGCTCAAAGGAACAGCTGGAGATCTGTGGGGGCAGCCCCACCGGGCCCCACTGGATCCCCCAGCCCCTGCACCGGGCCTAAGGCGAGGGGCTGCCCGAGGGCTGTCGGGCACCTCACTCCATCGCCTCACTCCATCAATAAATAACCACTGCATGAATACTGAATGAGCCATTCCACGGTGTAAATGTTACCTCTGCTTATTCTGAAGCGGAAGCTCCCGCTGCCCTCTCTTCCACGGGAGCTGCTTTCCTCCTTTCCCCCCAGCAGCATCATGAAAGCTGAGACACCGACGCAGCGCTCACCGCCCTCACCTCCATGCAACATTAATGGCACCCTGCTGGCCCTGTGCTTGCAGGCGCTCCGTGGGACATTGGCTCAGCTCTGTCCCCTGCCCTGTGCTCTGGTGCTGCATTTCCCAGCTGGGGGGGTTGCAGCATGTGCACCATGCATTGGCACTCACCAATTCTGCGCCAGCGCTGGAGTTAAAGTGAAGAAAAGACAAGAGCATTGAACTGCGCCTACAAGAAAGCACCGCTTTGCTCCAGCCTCTCCTGCACACATGTGCTGGGCAGCACAGCACAGCACTGGGCACACGTGGAGCACGCTGCCACATCCCCTGCCCCAGTGCCACCCTGCTCCTGTACTGTACAATCAATAGATATACCATCAGCAGAGTGGCGTGGTTAGGATGGCATTTTGCAGGTTGTATAACTAGAAAGGGGAAAGAGATGATCAAAAACGAATGAAATGCCCACCCCTGTCCCCACAGAGAAAACTCCACGAGAGATCCTTCCCTGCTGGCAGTCAATGGGGTCTGGGAGAGGTGGAACCACTGCTTTCACTCAGTGCTCGCCTCAGCTGATCAACCAGTGGCTCAGGCCGCGATTCACCAGTTCGCAGAGTGCCGGGGGACGCCTGGCCACGGCCCTTACCTGTACCTCATGCCCGTGGCGCGCGCCGTGCAGCCGTCCAGCGAGAGCCCGTGTGTCCGCAGGAACTCCTCCAACGTCTTGGCCTGTGCCGCCGCACGCACGTCCCGCAGCCGCCGCAGCTCCAGAGCGTCCGCGCGGCGCGGCGGCTGCAGCCCCCAGTCGGCGTGGTGCCGGCTGGCCACGCTGCGCAGGCTCTCGCTGTACGTCATGGACAGCATTCTGCTGCCTGAGCGCGGGGGCTGCGGGGCGGGCGGCGGAGCTCAGCAGGCGGTGGGGACACCCGGTTGTCCCCGGACCCCGCAGCGCTGCGCATGGCATGGGGATGGCGAGAGAACCCGACCGTGGGCAGCACAACAACCGGCCGAAGCGGGAAAGCCAGGGTGCCAAAGGAACGGGACATGCGGCGCAGCAGCGGGGAAGGGAAGGCGGCACACGGTGTGAGGCTCCGGTGCCTCCTGCCTCGGTGGTTGCTGTTGCCACGTGCCAGTTACATGGGGACCCACGGGGACGCGTCCTGGCAGTGGCAGGCGCATGGCTGCCCGTGTCAGGGTGCTGCAGTCCGTGCCACCAGCCAACATCGCAGCACTGACAGCGCGCTGCGACCTCACCGCAGCGGCACTAAAGAGGTGGCACTGATTTTCCCCTGTTGCTCTCCCTGGGACTCCCACTGCACTCAGTGCCTGCAGGGAGCAGCCGGCGCCTGGGAGCTCTGTGAGGCCCCGTAGTGGCGATGGGCGCGGAGCAGAGCCTGCCTGCACCCCACTGCCTTGGGGCATTCTTTCCTTTTCCCGTGAAGTTCAGTTTTACAGCAGTTCTATGGCGCAAAGTGTGCTTTTGTACTCAAGTATGACCTCAAGAAAAAAGCAAGAATGGGAAAGAAAGAGCTTTAGCTTCAAGGAATTACCAAAAACCCCAGGGAGCTCCTGCGATAAACAGTGCTTTTTGAAAACGCTCTGGAGCTCCTCATGCACAGGAAAGCAACCCAGCGTGTTCCTAAAGTGCAGGGAAATGCAAAAAGAGGATCCCCTACCTGAGGTCAAAGCCACAAGGCGCTGAGCACAGCACTCCCTGGGTGCCCCCACATCTCTGCAGCGGGGCCATAGGGCTGAAAGCAAAACCCCCTGACCTCCAGCACCCCCCAGATCTGCAGTGCCGGCACTGAGCCCTCCTCTGTGACTGACGGATCTCACACACAACCCCACTGGCTGCCCCTCACTGTGCAACCGGAGGAGTGCAAAGTGCTGCTTCTCTGCCTTCATCTCACTGCAATTAAATTAAAGCGGCGGTCGGAGTCGGAGGGGGACGATCGGAGCAGCGAGGCGGTAATTAATGGCGTGCCCTGCACTGACACCTCTGTGATTTCTGGCTGAGCAACAACTCCATGCGGCGGGGAGAGCACCGGGCGCACCCACAGGCACTTATTAGCACAAACTTTCTGCAAACCAAAGAGCGAGAAGCAACGGCTCAGCCCAGGGCTGGGGAAGCTGCCGAAGGCGGGCAGTGATGTGCGGCGGTGCGAAGCATCCATGCTGGGCTCCGTGTGCTGCCATCACCCCGTGCTCCCATCCCAGCCCACGGGGCCCCAGCGCCGCGCAGAGGAGTGAGGGGCGATGCGCTGCCTCTGTCCCAGCCCACAGCCCGGGGTGTCACGGCCTGCAACAACAACTGCAACAACGAGAAGCCCAAACGAAGCCCTCCCCAGCCAAGCAGCTCAGCGTTACATTGCAGCCCCAGGCAGGGAATGCAGCCCCACTTGCAGCCCCGAGTGCCGCCCTGGCGCCTCGGACTCACCCGGCTTCTGGGGTTCCTGCTCATTAAAAAGGAAAGCTCTGGCTGTTAGGGTTCCCTCAGACAGCTTTAAGGGAGGCACAGCTGTGGTTTTTTTCATGGAGGGGAGTGTCGGCGCACAGCATCCAAAGCAATTGGTGAACACAAGTCCCCCCAGAGTCAAGTTTTTGAGCGGCGCTCCATTAGCCCTATTAGGGTATTTTCTTCCTAGCGAACAGGAGCTCAATTATTCATGACTTCTTCGCTAAAAGCCTGTGGATGTGCAGCTGCTTTATGAACGCTGGCATCGTTTCCTCCGCCCGGAGCCGACCCTCACCGGCGGCTGCGGCGCGGCGCCTTGCGGTGCCATGGGCTGAGGCGTCCATCCACGGAACACAGCCCTCCCTGCAGTGCCAGGACTGAAATGCAAGCACCTCTGGGTGGACACGCATCTCCTGAGCACAGGTTTGTCCCCCTCTCGCCACCCTCAAGCCATCCATGCGCTGTGTTTGGGGACACAGACTCAGTGCATCGCTCCTCGTGCCGCTGTGGGCCGTCCTCATACCCCACAGCGCCCTGCTGGCACGCTGCAGGGGAAAAGTGCCTTTTTAATTTTAGGCAGTAAAAGGTTGGGTAAAAAAAAAGCTATCTGCGGTCTTAGGTATCAGTTAATGACATTTCTCTTAATGCAAGGAGCAGATGAGAGGGCTGGATGGGTGCCCAGAGCACCCCCTGGGAACGGCTAACAGCCCAGGCTGCTCTCCACACAGCACCAGCTCCACATCCCGGCCCTCCCAGTGCTCCCCATGCCCCAGCCAGGTCCTTCGGCATGCAGCTGCCCACAGCAGAGCTGGCATACACAGATGTGGGCGTCCCGGCCCAGTGGAGCCCCCAGACGGGACCTCAGCACAAGCAGGGGTTGCCCCACCGGGGGCCATCTGTGCTTCCCAGAGGCGTTTTTAGGGAGAAGGAAAGGACACGGTTACCTGTAGAACTGGAGCTGGCGCTTGGGGCTCCCATACCTCGCGCTTCCGACAGCAAGGAAGGAGGAGAGAGAAGAAAGATGCCACAAAGCGCGTTAGCAGAGTGGGGAGCGTGGCAGCACCGCGCAGCCGAGCCGGGACGGGTCGCTGCCAAACCCACGAGTGCTGCGCGGCGTACCGGCAGGGCTCAGCTCTTCTAACACGGGGTGCTGGCACCCAGGGGCTGCCCGGGGCTCCGCTCGCATGGCTGCTCACCTGTAGATCATGCCGGGGGAGCCCGTCTGCCTCAGCGAGAGTCGTGCCGGGGAGTCCGTGGTGGATTCCGGATACATGGAGCCAGCCTCGCCAAGCTCGCCCCGCGCGCTGCCTCACCCCTGCAAAAAGAGGAAGCCGGGTTGAATCAGCAGAGAGTTGGAGTGTGAGAGTGACGGCGCTTCCTGCTGTGGGCCGGATGGGTGCGCGGTGCGGTGCGGGCATGGCACAGCTCTGCCATCCCGTGTGGGATCCGGCACGGCCACCAGACCATCACGGCTCCCCATGGCTCCCCACAGCCCATCCCACGCCACCAGCCCTCATTATGGGCTCACAAACTCCTGCCACTTGATGGAAGGCAGAGCTGCCACATCGCAGCTGGTGCAGACAGCAGGACCAGCTGAGTGTGTGCTTGGGTGCTATGTGGATGCTGAGCCCAGCCTGGCCCGTTGCTGCGCTGCTGGGTGCAGAGCGGGGCTCCCCGCTGCCTGTGCCTGTGTTGCTTCCTGCCCTGCGCCCGCCCTGCTGCCCTAAGTGCGCTCTTGCGACACCGCAGGAAGCAGTGAAGAAATTCAGGGCCTACAATATTCAACATTTTGCTGATGGGAGGAAAAAAAAATCTCCAACACGACGCTACAGCATCCCCCGGAGGCTCCCCCTGCAGGCTGTGCGTTATTCCCACCCGCACCAATCCCCGCGGCTGTTCTGCAGCCTTCACGCTATTGTACTGGGGGGGGGGGGGGAGACGGAGGAGGAATGCGGGAGGGGAAGGGCGGGATTTTAATCTTTCAAATTCAAATGATCCTTCCATAAGCGCACGGCACCGAATCTTCCGCGCTGCAGACGGCGAGCTGCTTTCTGCCCTGGATTTGAGGCGAGATGTTTCCGTGCCGCTTCTCCAGCGGATGCACAGCCCGGCGTGGCACGCACGCATCCCGCTGCATCCCCTGCAGCCCGCACGGCCCAATGGCAGCGGCTGCGGCAGCGCGGCCGTCCCCGCGCTGCAACCCTGCAGCAAACCCTGCGCAGAGCGGCAGCGGCCCCGCGGCCCCTTCATCTGCTCCCGGCTGCAGCCGCAGCGCCTCGCACGAGAAGGAACGGGGTCACTGCAGCTCACGGCAAGGACGGGTTCGGCTGCTGAATGCCGGGAGACAGCTGCTCTCTGCCGCACCGCTCCCCGCAGCGACGCGACCCGCGCTGCTGCAGTGTCACCCGGATGCGCGATGCTGCCAAGCGCCGCAACCCCATCCCGGCCCCTGTGGGGGGTGCCTGGGAGTCCGCATCACTCCTGCAGCACGAGCACCTTCCCCCCCGGGGCTCAGCAGCCCCACGGGCAGGGCTGGATGGAACGTCCGCGGACGCTGCAGGGCGCCCCTGTGAGGGGGCAGCGCGGGCAGCAGCAGCGTTGCTCCTGCAACAGAACCTTGCATGCACAGCACCTCCCACCGCACGCTAATGCTCCTGCACCGCGCTTCACACCCTCCCCAGGGGAGCGAACAGGAAGCAAAACGCTGAGGCTGAGGGGAGCTGCATGCAATGTGGGGCACCTGCAGGGGACGGACCTGCATTGAGCCAGAGCCGGGCATGGACTGCGCTGTGCCTGCACGAGCAGGGGCGTGGGAGAGGCCAGAAAATGAAGGCACAGCACAGCAGTGGCTCATTTGTTCTGCATAACTGTGGCAGTGCCAGCCCTGCATTCCACAGTGGGCTGGCTGTGGGCAGCCCGGGATACACCCGGCCCTGTTTGTGGCAGCGCAGAGCAGTGACCACTCTCAGGGGGACCTGCTGGTGCCACCGAGATGCAGAAGGGGGTGGGAAGCCCACAGAGTGCCTTCTTCTAGCATGGAGCAATGGCTCCTGTCCCGGCTGCAAAGGAAAGCAGTGTGCCATGGGGCAGCTGGCACAGTGCCGGGCAGCACTGGAGAGCCAGAACCAGTGGCGACCATCCAGAAGCTCAGAGCCAACAACCCTGGCCCCGCACTGCTGGCATGTTCCTATTTTCCCTGCTGGAGGCTGAGATGATGCCTTCAGCTTCAGTTTCATCAGGGCAAAACTCACAGAGAGGCCCCAGCTGCACTGATTTCTGCAGGGTGGTGCACGGAAACAGAAGTGTTTTCTTCTGTGGGGTACTGGGAATAAAGGTGTGGGATGTGCTCAGGACCTGGGGGCAAGGGCTGCCCTAAATGCTCCCATCCTCATCACAATGATGGTTTAGAAGAGCCACTGGGATGCTGGAAGGATTGATGGCTAATAAGGCCCGGAGCAGAGGCTCTGCCTGATGCATTGCTTGAAGGAGGCTTTAAGACTCATTCATTAATGTTAATTGCTGAGATCCAATGGCATGGTTTTATCCTGGTCCCCACAAGATGTAGTATGGATATGGGAACATGCTGGCAGAGATCAGACAGGCAGCACCTACCCCATGGATGAAGTGATGCCAAAAAACCAAAGTGAGAGCCCATGCCTGTTTCTTGGCCAGGAGGAATCCTTTGGGTAGAGCCACCACGTGAGGCTCATGTGCCCCAGCCAGCCCCAGGCACAGGGGTTGCTTCCAGCGGCAGACCTGGCACCATGCTGTTGGATGTCCCCACAGGATAGCACTGGCTTTGGGTGGCTGCTACATGGGAAACATCATGGGCACAAATGTCCTACCGAGTCCCAGCAGGACTGGATTTACGCTCGCTCCTTCCCATGCCCTGTGCGGCTGTCATTGCCGTGGCTGGGGCAAGGATGAGGAAAGGATGGAGGGGCAGTGGGACCCCCCCGGGCACCCAGCCCCTGCCCAGCTCCCGGCCCTTCACATGATGATGTGGGTGAGACCACACAGAGCCTCTCCTCACTCAAGGTGCCCGTTCTGAGACTGCTAATTTTTTTCCCCTGGATCTGGTAAACAGCATCCTCAGCGAATTCTCCCCCAAACATGCTACGGAAAGATGAGTTAAGGACGATTACTCATTGCCCTGCTATGACTTGCAAATGCTTCGCATATCCTCTGCATCCCTGGGTCCCTGTATGCCAGGTCCCCATGTCCCCGTGTCCCTGCCCTCAGCAGTACCTGCAGGGCTGCAGGCAGCACTCGTGTCCCCGCAGGTCCCCGCAGAGCCGGGCCAGCCGCAGCCACACCGCAGCTCCCTGCAGCAGCTCGGGCGTGCAGGTATGGCATTACCCATCCATTGTAACGCCAGGAGACCCGCCCGGCAGGGACTGAGCTGCAACACGTGAGGCCGCCTGCTCTTCCCGTGCACTCCGAAACAGCACCGCTCAGCTCCCGGCGTGACAAACCCCATAATCACATGTGGGCCCACGGCGGGCCATCGTTCCTTTTCACATCCGCGCTATGTGAGCAGCCAAGTAACGCTGCACCCCAACACCCTCGGCGTGCAGCCCTGCGGGGACTCGCTGCATCCATCTGGGCTGGATGCGGCACTGCACCTGCGGGCGAGGCACAAACAGCCGCACCGCACTACCCGGCTCCACCGCACCGCACCGCACGACCCCGCGGCGCGCACCCACCTCTCCTCCGCGGCGTGCGGGCACTCAGAGCCAGCCCTCCCCGAAAGTTTTTCCTCCTCGGCGATGAAGATGCACGGTCGGGAGGAAAAAAAAAAAAAACAACAAGGAAGACCCACAGAACCGAGACGTAAATCAGCTGACGGCGGCGAGATGGAGGCTCTGCAGATCTGGGAGCGCGGTGCCAGGTGCCGGTCCGCAGCGAGCGCCGAGCAGGGCGCGTTTACCCCATTCCTCCGCGCCCCAACGCGGTGCTGGTGCGGGGGGAGGCGGGGGGGGGGGCGGCCCCGCCGCTCGGATCGGCGCTCCCGCACCGCCGCCGCCGGAACCGCGCAGTGCGGGCGTGCGCAGCGCAGCACCGTGCGGGACAAAGGGCTGCGGGGGGGTGGGGGAGCGTCTTCCGACCGCGCCGGTGCCGCTCTGAAGGAATAGAGAATAGGGCAGCGCGGAGATGGGGCAGGGCTGCGCGGAGCGGGGCGGAGGTGCCGGCACCGGAGCTGTGAGATCCGAGGAGAGAACAGGACGGGCACCGGCTTGGTGTCCTCAGCGCTGCTCCAGAGCAGCGGAAAGAGCCAGGACGATGTGCCGGCACCCAGCGCCGCCGCCAGAATCCCACCGGGTTCAGCTGAGCTCGAGGCGTAGCACCGCATCTCGGGACCCAACGACGCCGGGTCACCTCCGTGCCACCCCGCTTGGCACCGGGACCGAGGGCTGCTTCAGCCCCGAGCCAGCCTTCCTCCTGGCACCGGCACACAACGCGTGCCTCTGTCTTTGCACCAAGAGCTCCCGGTGAGCGCTAAGAGGTGCCCCGCTGGCAGTGGTTGCTGCTTTTTAATTAATCGGCTTTTGCTTTTTTTGCCGTCTTGCAGAGCTCCTCCCCAAAATGTGTGCTTTGGAGGTGAAGGGGAAACATCTGCATAAGCCCGGCTCTATCACAGTAGAGCTGACCCTGCCCAGGTTTAGCAGCAGAACCAGAGGCCAGGAGAGCAACAACGACTGCTGCTTCAGAAGCGTGCAGCTCGCGGTTGGCATTGGGATGGGAAAGCAGGAACCCACCCTCTGCGCCGCACGCAGGACATGGGGTGGCAGCTTGGAAAAACAAGGAAAGGCATCTGCCTCAGGAGTCCCAAAATAGCCCCAAATTCAGCCTTGTTGTGCCTGTAATCACACTCGGATGGGGAAAAGCCAAAGGGGCTCTGTGCGCAGCCGCGGCCCCAGCAGTGCCACGCCGCCGGGACTGATGGCACCGCAGTCAGCACAGCCAGAAAATCGTCCTCTGTTCTGCAAACCCAGCTTGTGGGCGTGCTGCCCGGCACAGGGAAACACGAGGAGAAGCCAATGCCGAGATTTACCGGGAGCACCAAAAGCTGAGAGCCCCTCACCGCGCCGCAGCACTCCTGGCACGGCAGGAAACCGCGCGCGGCCCTTCCAGACTCGGTGCTGCACTTTGCTCTGCGCCACGGGCTGCACACGGGGCAGGGGCGCAGCGTGGGGCTCGGGCACGGCTCAGCGCTCCCCTCCTTGGGCAGGATGAAACGCCAAAGGAAACCCACGGCTCTCGTGCATCTCCACGTGCGGCGGCGAGCAGCGGCGTTCTTGTGAGCCGGCGGGGGAATCGCCGCATATATGCATGTGTAATTCCTCGGCAATATGCGCACTTGCTACACACGCGGATTTCAGCTGTTTTGGCGCTCGCCCACGGCGCGGCGGCGCGGTTCACAGCAGCGCGTTTCCAAGAGCTAGCGGCAATCTGGCTCCGCTTGCTCGAGGTGTGCGGCGCGGGGCCGTGCGGGGCGGCTCGAGGTACGGCAACGGAAAGGCAGAAAGGAGGAATTTGTCGGCGCTGCCACCGCACGAGCGGTAACGTCCGGCGTGACCCCATCCGACGGCCGCGCGGCAACGCGGTGCGGGGGAGCGGCTCCGCACTGCGCGGACATCGCACCCCGCGCGGCGCCCTCGTGGGGGGCGTGCCCCGCCCCGCCGCCTCCCATTGGCTGCGTGGCCCGCCGCTCCGGCGACATGCAAATCGCGCCGCGCTCATTGGCTATAAAGAAGCGCGGTCCCGCCCCATCCCCCCGCCGAGCGGCCGCCGGGAGCCCGTAACGCCCGGGGTCTGCCGCTGCCCGCGACCCCCCGCCGACCCTCGTCCTTCGGCCCCGCATCCCTGCCGCCCGCATCTCCTCCCCCGCCGACCCCCCGCCCCGCTCACCGGCGCGGCGCTGCGGGCGGTGGGACGGAGCGGAGCGGCGCGGAGCGGAGCCGGGCGGTGCCTCCCCCGCGGGGCGGCGCGCATCGCCCCAGTAACCCGACGCCGCGCGAGGCGCGACCACCGGCGCAGGGGGAACCGCCGTCTCTCCCCGTCCCGGCCGTGCCCTGAGCCCCGCACCGCCATCGCGACCTCCGGCCGTTCCCAGCGCCACGTGGGACCGTTTGAGGGTTGCGGGATGCGGGTGGCGCGGAGCTGCGCGGAGTGGCGCGGGGAATCCCCCCTCCCGCACGGCGGTGGTGCGGTCCGGGAAGATGGCGGCGAGACGCGGCGGGAGCGGTGAGTGCGCGGCGGGGCGGCCCGCATCGTACCGCAACGCTCCAGCTGGGCACGCGCCTCGTGCGGGGTCGGAGATGTCAACGCATAGAAGGGCCCCTATAGGTGCCGTGCTCTCCTGCGGGTCTCTGCCCCGCGCACGCGGAGTGCGGAGCTCTCCGGTAACACCGGCACCGCCCCGGGTCAGCTCCTGTCCCCACCTTCAACCTACGGCAGCTCTCACTGCTGGTTTGCAGGGCGCTGCTGCGGGTCCCCAGGGTGTCACCGTGCTGCGGGTGAGGGGGGGGTGCAGGAATTCTGTGCAATTTGCAGAACTGGGGTCGTGCACTTGTGCTGCTTCACCGCTCGGCCGTGTTTCCCCTCACTGTGTGCTTTCTCTCGCAGCTGAGCATCCCCCAGCAGAGTCCTGCAGGAGGAGGTGACCCCAGAGGGTGAGATGGCTGAGTGGGAGAGGCTGTTTGCATGGAGCCGTGCTGTCCCACCTCACACCCAGCGCAGACACGGCGTGCCGGAGCCCTCGGTGCCTTTCCAGTGTGTCCTGAAGTGCCTCGAGGGCTCTGTTGTCACGCAGGTATGGAGCTGTAAAGCCAAAAGCAGGAAGCACATCGCACTCCAGAGGCTCTGCAGGACAGTGCTGGGCTGGTTGGAAATCCCCTCCTGCTTGTGGGCCTGGGAGGGTGCAGGCATCACAGGCATGAATGCTGTGTGCCCATGCAGCCTGCTTTGCGCAGTGCCCAGCAGCCATCTCGTGTCTGTCAGGAGAGCTGAGCAGAGCTCAGATTTCTGCTACATTTACTTCCTTTTGGGCTCCTAAATCTCCCAGTATCAAAGCAGAACTGTATGTAAATCCCATGTGCTTCCATCTACACATCTGAGTTAGTTTTACATGCTAACCTTCAGGGTCACCAGGCATTTTCTGCAATAGAAGGATGATGTATTACAAGTATTCATCAACATCAGTGTAGAAGCCCCAGTCAGCTGTGCTCTGTCCCCCAGGCGGTGACAGCCTGCCCTATCAGAGGCATTTCCCCATGCCCCCAGGTGCAGGTGAGGAGCTGCATTCCCACACCCCTCCCTCTCTTGCAGCAGTCCCCAGCTAAGCTGCAGCTCCGCGTGTCTCTCTTCGATGCCACCCACCGCCACTTCTTTGGCCACACGTGGCACAGCAGCACCCGGACCCCCCGCAGCCCCCCAGGACAGCCCCCCTGTGTGCTCTTCAATGAGGTATGGCCGTTGAAGTTGGTTGGCTTCATGCTGGGCTGTTGGTTCCCTGCCTCTCCACAATCTTGCAGCTGGATGCATCTCCCATTATTAATTATGATGTATTCTAAAGGACAAACCCTGCAAGCTGCAGGCTGGGTGACGCGGTGCTGTGCCTCCGTGCCAGCAGCAGAGTGCACTGTTCCTTCAGACACAGATGGGCTGAGCAGCAGCTCTGCAGCAGCTCTTGTGGAGGTGCTGCTGCACAAAGCCAGGCTTTTATCCACCCGGGTCCCTGCAGAACTTGCTGCCCTAAGGCAGGACCTTGCAGGGGTCCCTGGGTGTGCAGCCAGCTGCACTGCTGCTGTGCACAGCTGTGGTGAGGCTGCAGTCCCTGCAGCATTGGTTGCAGCTGAGGCTTCATCTCCTTGGTCATGATAGTGTCTAATTATAGCCTTTATTTCCACTTGAGTCAAAGCGTTGTGCCAAGGATGAAGTTTAGCACAGATCAGAGCCGCGCTCTGTGATTTATTTAAATCTCTGATGGCATCTGAGGAACATTGGCATATGCATTTCATCCTGAGGTGTTTGAATCATCGCTCAGTCCATGCTTTGTGAATAGGGATGGGGGAAACTGTGGCAGGGAGCTGCCAAGGGAGAGGAACACAGTGCTGCTCCACATGCTGCATGAGCCCACATGTGGGGCACTGCGATGCAGGCGGCACTTCCCAGGCACCAGGATGTGGAAATGGAGCTCTGCATTGTGGTTCAGAGCTTCCCCAGTCTGGCACTCACCAGTTCAGCTCTGCTGGAGCACTCCTGCTGCACTGATGGAAGGCTTAGAGGAGATGGGAGTGTTATTGGAACTGCTGTTGGCTCTTAGGAGACAGCTGTAACCTCTTTCTTAACAACAGATGTGCTTTAGCAGCTCCTGTTCCTGTGGCATCAGTCTCTTGCAGCCTGGCCACCTGTCAGCAGCCAGTGGTCATCATTTCAGCATTTTGCAATAAAAGATAATAGAGTAGCGATTTATTTCTCTGGGATGATGTGCTAATGCCTCTCTCTGTTATCCCTTCCTGACAGTCCGTGACTGCAGCCAACGTTTTCTCTGGGACGCTGCGTTGCGATAATGAGGCTTTACTGGAAGGGTTGATCACACTGTAAATCCCATCCCGGGGAGGTGACGGCGTCCTGCCCTCCCTGTGCTGTGGGTTAGGGGCTCCTGCAGCCCCTGGGGACCCAGCGGGATGTGTTGGTTGGACCTGGCACTGCGCATCAGCATCCCCTCCCTTTTGCAGTGCTCTCGTGCAGATGCGCCCTGTCCTCAGTGAGAGCTGTGCTGTCGTTGCTCTCGGCTGCCGCACTCTTCCATCTCTCCCCAGGCCGTGTATTTCCACACCTCGCTCAGCCACCCCAGTGTCACAGCCGTGGTGGAGGTGGTGGCTGTGGCCCCTACCCCAGAAGGGCTCGCACGGAACGTGTCGTGTGGCTTCGGGCTCATCCCACTGTTTGACAG